TGGGTGGTTGGAAATACCAGATTTATTTTTCGTGTTGAACATGACATCTCACTCATTCGCTGCGCTCACTTGTTCGCTGCACACTCATGTTCAACACTCGAAATAAATCTGGTATTTCGTGCACCCATGTATTATTTTCTATTTAAACTACAACTTGACTGGTTTAAATTATTATCAATTTATCAGTGATTGTAAAAGTTGCAGATAGAAGTGTTTTGTTTTATATTATTATCAAGTTATCAGTGATGGCAAAACCTCCAAATCCTTAATTGCAAATGTTAGAATGTTAGGGTTTGTAATCCAAGTGAGAATATATACATTTTAAGACCTAACCAGGAATGACTGCGAAAAATGCAGCACAAGGTCCTCTGGTAGGAATTGAACCTACGGCCCTGCGATTCCGGTGCAGTGCTCTAACCAACTGAGCTACAGAGGCCAGCTGTTGAGCTTTAACCATAAGTTCATGTATATTTAGGTAATCGGGTGTGCGGGTTATGATAAGGTGGACTTCAATAATTTGGATTCTTGCACTTCACTTGGTGGAATTAATATTAGAATGTTAGGCTTTTGTAATCCAAGTGAGAATATATACATTTTAAGACCTAGCCAGGAACGACTGCGAAAAATGCAGCACAAGGTCCTCTGGTAGGAATTGAACCTACGGCCCTGTGATTCCAGTGCAGCCCTCTAACCAACTGAGCTACAGAGGCCAGCTGTTGAGCTTTAACCGTAAGTTCATGTATATTTTAGGTAATTGGGTGTGCGGGTTGTGATAAGGTGGACTTCAATAATTTGGATTCTTGCACTTCACTTGTTGGAATTAATATTAGAATGTTGGGGTTTGTAATCCAAGTGAGAATATATACATTTTAAGACCTAACCAGGAACGACTGCGAAAAATGCAGGACAAGGTCCTCTGGTAGGAATTGAACCTACGGCCCTGCGATTCCGGTGCAGCGCTCTAACCAACTGAGCTACAGAGGCCAGCTGTTGAGCTTTAACCGTAAGTTCATGTATATTTAGGTAATAGGGTGTGCGGGTTATGATAAGGTGGACTTAAATAATTTGGATTCTTGCACTTCACTTGGTGGAATTAATATTAGAATGTTAGGGTTTGTAATCCAAGTGAGTATATATACATTTTAAGACCTAACCAGGAACGACTGCGAAAAATGCAGCACAAGGTCCTCTGGTAGGAATTGAACCTACGGCCCTACGATTCTGGTGCAGCCCTCTAACCAACTGAGCTACAGAGGCCAGCTGTTGAGCTTTAACCATAAGTTCATGTATATTTAGGTAATCGGGTGTGCGGGTTGTGATAAGGTGGACTTCAATAATTTGGATTCTTGCACTTCACTTGGTGGAATTAAAATTAGAATGTTAGGGTTTGTAATCCAAGTGAGAATATATACATTTGTATATTCTCACTTGGATTACAAAATATATACACAAAATATATACATGTACGATACATTTGTATATTCTCACTTGGATTACAAAATATTCTCACTTGAATTACAAAATATATACATCTATATATTCTCACTTGGATTACAAACCCTAACATTCTAATATTAATTTGACAAGTGAAGTGCAAGAATCCAAATTATTAATTTCAAATGCCCCGCCGGGGCTAAGGTTCGAGTGGAAATGCCCAACCCCCGGGATGTGCTTTACAGGAAAATGGCTGGGCGAGGGGGATGGGCACACTTGGATTTGGCTGATGCAATAAAAGTCCTGTGCTTATTCCAGACTGCTTGTCAAATATTTACTTGCTAGAAGTAGAAATTTACTCTGACCACTGGATGAAGAAGACATTAAATAAGTACTGGTCAAATAAACAGAAATGTATTTTATTTCATAGTATTACAATTTTATTTTTATACTATAAAAATAAAATATAAACATGCAGCATAGAATATACAAATTCGAGGCAAAATTATTGTTGAATCGGTTTATTTATAGGATTTTATAACAAATAGCAACTATAAAAGTTTGTACCTTGTCTTCACATCGCTTTATTCTGTTAGCCAATGCTTTTAAATTTACATATTTTAGAATCAGTTCCTTTCCTGGTAACTGCATTTCCAAATGAAATCATCGTGAGTAGTGAGTGCTGAGCAGGCTGTTTTACTATAAACAAATTTTAGGAATTGATAACAACTTTGAAAAATATATCGTTGCACATTCGGTCACAGTCGGAAAAATGTTCATAGTATGTTGTACTGTCGCTTGCAACTAACGATGAACAGTCGCTCATAAAAACATTCGCGTGATTAGAATTTTCAATGTTTGTCAAGAACAACAACACTTAATTGTTGTTTCCCATGTGTAAAATAATAAGTAACAAAACTTTGTGTGGTCTGAACGTGTTGGCTAGAGACCTACTGGAAACTTTTACAGGCTTTTTAATGAGAATAGAGAATGTTTTATCTGCAACTGTTCACCCTTAGTTGCAACCGACGGTTTTTGACAGCATAAAATTGCCTGCGGCTGTGATAACTGATATAAGCAAAATACAGTCTGGTTATACTGACTTGAGCGTGTCATGACAAACTCTTTATTGGAAAATTGTGAAGAAATAGTCGAATATAGAGGGTCAAATATCATACTTCAACTTGTATAGCTACAGTATCATTGGTACATAGTGTTGTGAAGACAAGCCTTTGCTTGCCTTTCGCTTCAGCAGTCTTTTTTTTCCATGCTTCTCTACACTTTCCCAGGCGAGCTTCTCTTCCTCAGCAGTCTCCTCGAGCAAATGTTGTCGTCTTCGCTCCCTCCTTTTCGCTAGACGTTCGGCTTTCTTGTCGTTTCCTTGCCGCTCTTCATTTGGCTCCATAGTCCATATCTTTTCGATTGGTATTTGATACCGTAATTGTTTTAATTAAACTAATCACGCCCGCGATATTTGATGAACTTTAGACTTGGCTAATGCTTTCGTTTCCCCGGGTGTAATAGCCGGGGGGAATTAGTACCCTCGCACGGTGCTTCGTGCTGCCGGCTCAGGGAATATATGCAACTCTGTCTTATGGCATGCTGCGAATCTTGCATGGACAGTGTGGTTGGCATCAATTGGCCAATTTCATTTGCCCCTAGCTGCCTTTGATATGAACTGCATGGCGAATAGCTCACACTCTGCAGGGGCGGATCCAGGGGGTATCGAGTGTAGCTCAAGATATACGGTCAGATTTTTCCGATTATGGATAGTAAAATAGTTTTGGGGGGAAATTCACCATTAATATATTTTCACGCAATTCATTTCTGTTTAAAAATAGTGAAAATTTGAGTTTACTAAGATGAACAAGGGCAAATTCTTTCGTAAATCTTAAAATTTACAGCTCTAAATTTAACATTAGCTGTGTTTTAAAAGCATTGAATTATTTTCGACAAAGATTAGCCAAGAGCTTTCCGAAGGCATAAGCCGAGGTTACGTAACCCGATCGGAAAATTTTTTTAATGCGTCTGCAGTGTTCTGATACAGTCCGCGGTTCAAATGTTACTAAAAATAGTAACTTAATGAGGTATTTGGATACCTTGGAGGGTATCCAGCCAATCACAGGACATGTATCTGTGACGTCGGATACCCTCTGATACTGTGGCTATATGTTGATTGTGCAAGAAATGAAATAATCGTGAACCGCTCGGAAACTTTGTCTCATATTGCTAACAGCCGCATTCTTCTAACGTAAACTGAGTGAGCAATGGCCTTACATAATTTCAGAAGACGTCCTTGAAATAACACTTTATAAATAGTGTTTTAGATACCAATTCGAAAAGACTATTACGATAAAGATATGTCCAAACGGGCCGAAGTTATGTTCGGCGAAAGGTATGGCTAGTTTACATATTTGTTCGAGAAAATTGAGGATCATAGTGAAATATATATGATATTGCTTTACCTCTCAAAGTTCGTAAATCGCTATATATATAATGTTGACATTTGACTAAAACTATTGTTAGGGATTAGGAGATATTCTTTCAATGAACTGAACGGTAGTATTTTTGTTTTCATAGCATTTGCCTAAGCGAAGATATTAATCTGCAAAAAGTCATATTGCGCTGGTGCAATATGTATTAAATGTACTCAGCATGAAAGCCGATTTTTCTATGTCAAAATGCCCCCGGCCACATTTCATGAAGCAGAAACTTAAACACTGATACCAAGAACAGTTATTGTGTGTTTTTTGTTTATACTTTATGTTTAAAATATGACCTTGTTAAGGTCAAATTTTAGGACAGAATCATTGGCTCAGAACGCAGGAAATGGCATTTGGGGGGGGGGGGGTTATGCAAAACATAGGAGTATGATACGGTCAGATTTTAAGCTAGATCCGCCCCTGCAAGTCTGAATACTGAGAATATTGCCTTGTGGCAAGGAAACCAGTACAGTAACACACAACAATGGATAAATATAATTATCTTGGGCTGGTTGTACAAAAGGCGTTTAACTTAAACAGTGTTTAGCCGCTAACCAGCTAGCCTGCATGGCAGGCGGTATTTCTACAGGCAGCGAAAATTAGGGAAGCAAAGGAAATACCGTCTGCCGCAAAACTAGGGGTTTTTGAATTACCCGTCCGCTGGTGAACAAGAAAAACGGATTGGTTAGTATTTTTATGTAGTTGTCAATCAACGGTTAAATGTCAATCATTAACCAAATGTTCACATTGTTTATATAACAAGTTTACAGTTACAACCTTCAGATCAGTGGTTTCAACATGTCTTCGATTTTATGTATAAAAGAATGTTTGACCGAAGCATTGAAGTGTTTAAGGCGAGATATTGTTTTGAAGTTCTGGCTATCTTGCCAACTGGCTATGGAAAGAGCATGATCTTTACAGTGTTTGCTCTCGCGAAGCAGGCTATGCTCAGACGACTTGAGAAAGATACTTCGATTTGCATATTAGTTATCTCTCCTCTTACCAGCATAGCTGCAGACCAGATAGTGGAGATGGAATCATTTGGTTTTAATGCTGTAGAGCTTACTGAACTAACTTTAACAGATGTCATACATTCTCCACCAAACTTTATTTACTCCAGTGCAGAACGCGCTACGAGCATTTCTTGCGGCACTGAAGGATGACTGTAGTCTCCTACATCAACGTACAGCGTCGATCGTTGTAGATGAATCACACACTGTGGAAACGTGGACAGGGAAAAGGTAAAAGTACAAACTCGAGATTTCGAGTTTGAATAGAATGATATTTAAGAATGATGCACAAACAAAATAAATGTATATTAAAATATTGAAAGTTCGAGATTCAGTGGTCTGTCGTATAAATTGCTACAGTTTTAACCAGAGTTTTAACAAAACAATATAATAAAATTGTAATTATAATTGGCTCTGAATCGAATTGTAATTTGGAAAGTTACCCGGCGTGACATACTTCATGGGAAGATGTTTAAAAAATGTTTATTTTGCAACAAATGCCATTATTAATCATGATTTTTTCTGTGTTGGTGTAATGTATTCAGGTGAGTACGATGCTTGTGATGTTACCCTGAGTGTATATCCACACCGGGCAAGCTTGAAAAAATATGCCTGACCACGGTGGGAATCGAACCTACGACCTTTGGAATACTAGCCCAATGCTCTGCCAACTGAACTACGCGGTCGGGTTATTTTTCAAGCTTGCCCGGTGTGGATATACACTCAGAGTAACATCACACATAGACGGATTTTTGAAGTGCTACCCCCAACATTAGCTATAACCCCCCAACAAAATGTCCCCCACTCCAAAAAAATATTCAACCCCCCCTCCTCAATATTCGGCATAATAAAAAATAATTAAATAGTCCACTCCAACGTGCAGAGTGTTGATGTGCAATTACAGTGCAATATTCCGAAACTAATCTCTCCTCGCTTGCATTCACTGGTTTATTGGAGCAATTGTAAAGTTTTGAAACTCTATTATCTCCCCTGAATAGAGTTTGCAGTCATGCGAATAGCTTGCGTGCAAGGAACATTTGGAATTTTTACGAACATTATTTTTAGTTTTCAATTCTTTTAGGAAATAGACTTGCCTAGATTTAATCTTTACACCCCAAATATTATTTACATCAGAGTTGCATTATAAATTGTACTCAGATTCAAACGACACAATGTTGATGACTTTATAAAAGTAAAAGCATATTGTGTATTTGCCTACTGGGTTTACAATTTTACAGGTTCATTTAACTTTAACTCTCTCAAGTCTCAACAGACAATCGGACATGCCAAATCCATTGATATCTGAACTTCAAAAAACTTTTTTTCGAAGCTAGAAATCATGATTTTTTTTCAAATTTTTCCAGGGATACTTTGTTTTCTGCTCTCTAGACTCTGCTCCACCCCTAGAATATAGACCTTACTGGAGTTTGGTGACACTTTGTGTTGCTTCAGTCGCCTGCTCACGGCTCACCCCCCTAAAATTTCTGGCACCACCCCAGTAAAGAATATGAAAATCTGTCTATGACATCACAAGCAATATCATATTCATCTGAGTACATTACACCAACACAGAAAAAAATCATGATTATTATATTGATATTGAAGGAAGTAGATTCTGTTCCGAAATATCACATACTCGAACCGACCAGACCGCGTAGCTCAGTTGGTAGAGCATTTGGCTAGTATTCCAAAGGTCGTAGGTTCGATTCCCACCATGGTCAGGCATATTTTTCAAGCTTGCCCGGTGTGGATATACTGTACATTCAGAGTAACATCACAATCATCAATTAAATCATGCATATTATGTGTAAATTTTAGGAAAAATAAATGTAAGAAAGCAAATATGAACAAGGCATTTAGAAGCGCTTTTGGAAAACTCTCACTTCTGCGTTCGATGTGCAAAAAAGGTAAGCAATTTTACCAAATTATTTTATTCTCTTCAGCAAGTCATCTGTCCCAGAAGTTCAAAACACTGAAACATATTCCCATGCAGTATTAAAGTAATTACTGTATGATTAGTAGAAACATTGAACACATAATTTAGTTAAGCAAATGCTTGGGAAATGATGCCACATGCTGTTTGTTAATTTTGTGATGATGATGTGGGATGAGAAAAAGTTTCATCCTTTCGATACAAGCCGACTCAAACAATGTACCATTTGAATGCAGAAAAAGTTTATTGTTTCATGCATACACGGAGTCTGGTTGGTGTGAATTAATACACCATTATTTATATATTTATTTTAGATTGTCCCTTGTTGGCTTTAACTGGAACTGCAGACAAAAGCACTCAAGATACTATTTGCAATGAACTTCTGTTAAAGGAGCCAACCAAATTCTTTGTAAGTCCAAACCGTCCAAATCTTAGATTTTGTGTGCATAAAGTGAAAAAGGATGACATGCTTGCCCAATTGGATTGGTTAAAGAGACTCTTTAGTTCCCTGAAAGGTGATGGAACAAAGAGGATTGCTATTGCAACTACTTCACTAAGTATATGGGTGTAAACTTCCCGAATATCCGTTATGTAATTATGTTTGGGCTACCAAGAAGTCTTTTAGATTTACATCATCAAGCAGGTCGTGGTGGAAGAGATGGATTGCAGAGTGATGTTGTGATTGTTTTTTTTATGGTCAACAAGTTTCCCATTGTGACGATGATGTAAGACAATTTGTCAATACAACTGGCTGTTATCGGATTGCAGGTTATGTAGCTTTTGATACACACATTACTGCCCTATTGCCTGCACACCTGTGCTGTAATTATTGTGCTGGAACTTGTACTTGTATTTCTGATGGATGTGCTGAACCAACAAAACCTTTTGAGACACTGGCTGTTAAAAAGATCTTTCAGAATCATCAGTCCAGAATAGTTTCTGATGAAGACAAACATTTGTTGTCAGAATCATTGCAAGAGCTAATGAAAGGTATGTTTGCTCCCACAATGTCACCATTTGGCATTACTTCTAGCCATGGTTTCTCACAAGAACTTATATCTGATGTTGAATCCAACTATCACTGCATTTTCACAGAAGATGACATTTATCATCTTGTACCTATCTTTTCAAAAACCCATGTCACCAAGATCCTAGGCATATTTAGTGAAATATTTGACGACATTGATGAGTGTGCACTTATATGTGAAGTGGCTGTTGACCAACAGCAAACAATAAACCATCTTACAATGTTAAATGAGTTCATTAGCACAACTGGTTATCTTGAAGTGGATCCTGAATTTGAGGATCTGGATATTTTAAGTGATGAATGATGTACATATTAAGATAATATATACTGTACTAAGCAGAGGTGTAACTTAACACTTGCCTGCTTGCCTGGGGCAAGTGAATATTGCCTGCTTGGGCAAGCTTGTGAACAGGTTGACATGTTGTCCCCTTAATTAATTTATACCCATACCTAATGTAGGTACCCCAGTGGCCATTGTATGATGGCGAGTGAATTTTATTCAGGGCAACTAATTTTCATGTCCAACTTGCCTTGAGGGCAAGTGGTCAAAAAAGTGAAGTTACACCACTATTAAGATGTTACTCTTAGTTAAAGATTATCAATAATCACATTTCTTTGTTAAAATTCCATGATTGTTAATACATTCGGACATTTTAAATATCAACATGTAGTGAAAAATGGTAACAGAAATGGCATAGTACACACTTTATACCAGCACACTTATATTACATGCACATCAGTTTACCACAATAATATGCAAATTATGTCATATACAGTATTTACAGGTATCTGTTATGTTCATAAACTTAACTTACAAAATTTACCAGTTCTAAGAGGTACCGACCTTTGTTATATTGTAGCATCAAATACCCTGTTAAGGTCCTTGAGTTCCAAAGAAAATGAGAGTAAAATGCTGTTTCCAAAAGGGTTAAAATGTAAAAATGTACTTTCAGAGGGGGGAAGGGGTCAATTACACAAATTTTGTTGCATTCCAAAGGGGTAATAATCAACAAAAGCAGAGGTCTTCATGCAATAGAGGGGGCTTTGGTTTTTAAATGTAATAATTAGCCCAATCTCTCATACATATATCTATCATCATTTTACTATTACTAATATTAATAATAATCTTAACCCTATTAATCCTTTAATTGGCAATGCACCCCACTTTATTATTTGATCTATATCCTTTCATCCGGCTTACTGTATTTTGCGAAATGAAACTTTGCGAAACGAAACTTTGCGAAACTGTATTTTGCGAAACTGTATTTTGCGAAACTGCATTTTGTCATAATTCTGCTAGTAGAGTTGGCAAACATTTGTTTATAAAGACTAAATATATCAAAGACAAAGTGCAGTACGTTGCTTCTGCCACGCCATGAAAATGCTGACGCCATGGTCCTAGCCAGTGCGCGTTTGAGAGGCATTCCCCTCCTGGATGTCCGCCATTTTGAATATTATCAGGGGATGAATGCTATATGGGTGAATGCCTCTCAAACGCGCACTGGCTAGGGCCATGGCGTCAGCATTTTCATGACGAATTACGGTTACGCCAAAATCATTGGATTATCATAGGAAAAACAAAGAAGTCAGCCTTCTGTATGAGTTATTATGTGGCTGTGGATTGATTTTGAAAGAAAATATGGCGACACGACAGCCATGACGTATAAATCAGTGAACAACAGAAATGTTTGATGTTGTGAAAATGGCGAAATTGCAACTATACATCAAATGTTTCTGTTGTTCAATGATTTATGCATGGCTGTATAGTGTTTTTCCCAACTAAGCTTCACTAATGTATCACGATTTACAAAAAGACATCATTGACGTCCAAATATCACCTTGACTTTGGAGCCAGTCAACGGTTTACGCTGTTACTTGTTCCCATCAAACACAAAATTCAAAAATGTTTTAGATCCTCAAAAGACAAATATAAATTATTTCCATTCTCACTATAATATTAATAACAAAGGTTAAAATACTTGTCCCTGGTCCCGATTTACGGGCATAAGTATATTGATTTTGATAGCAATTTTCTTCGATGTCTCTACGTTTTGCAAGAAAACAGAAAAAATGTGATCGAATATACATACCGTACCGTACCGTACCGTACCAGGCGTAAGTCGGAACCGGAGTATCTTAACCTCTCTAATCATGAGTCGCCGAGATTTCATCGAGTCGTTAATGACAGTGTTCTTCGCATCACTCCATCAGTTACATTAAAAAATTGTTAAACGAACACCAAAGTTCGTACTATTGTGCAGTGCATGTTACGCTTTTTGTAATACACATCGCGTTGTCGTTGATGTTGCAAGTGGATAAATAGTGCTATATTTGAAATTGGTCTGAAAAATAAAAGTAATGGCCGAACTATACTTGAAATTGAAACATAATGTCAATGGAAGTACCAAGTACAAACAATGCACTTTTGTGGCTCCTAATTGACGGTCTCTAACAGGTTGGGAGGGAAGTGTAATATGCCCATCACCATCAAATCACTCAAATTCCACTTGGCGGCTGTGTTTATACCAAAAAATCTGTAAAGATAATTTGTAACATAACGTAACTAAACATAACAAATCGAAAATTGCTGGCCAATGCCATTGTCAGCGAAGTATGTTGCTAATTGTTTTTGTACCGTTCAATGTGCCATTTAGGCAGGCTACATAGTCTACATATACAAACCAACAAATACTATATTACAGGTTTTAAATCCTTTTGTACGCATGTTCATTAAGTTTCCGCCGTCAATTAGCGAGGGGCGTATCACTTTAATCACTTTATCACTCAACACTCTTTAAGCGCTTAAAATGTACTATCTGAAAAATTCATCAATGTCAAGAAGCTCATACACTTTCCTGATTGATACACAACTCACCAACTTCTCTGTAGTCTGTTTGTATGCAGCATTTAGAGTTTCAATTCGACAATCTTAACTGCTTGCTATTCTACGTATACCCGTTATTATGCTATTCACAAGGACAAATGGAATGCATCATTTAAAAGTTTTGTATGACCTTCTTTCAGTCTTTCGCGGACATCATTTTCAATCTTGAGCATACCTTTCCAAAAATAAGGATGCCTCTGAAGAATACAATTCTTTTTCATGCAGTAATATCTTGCGACTTCTTTTTTCCATGTAGCTTCCATTCGTATATTCGCCGCAGCATCTTTTTTCGGGTAATAATACCTTTCCATATGTAAAATAGCTATATCTTGTGGAATGCAAACAATGCCTCCCGTAGGAAATTCTATCTTGCATGATTCGCATTTTGATATGTTCCGGTAATCTTTTGTAAATACAACGTCGAAGTTATTCTTATTGTGGTAAATCTCAGTAAAATTAAGAGGTTTAGGGAAGTCTAAGTCGATGTCATTCCTACGCACTTCTTCAACAATAGGGTGCAATTCAACATTATTAGATCCTTTTCTCTTTTTCTTCTCTCTTGGTTTCTCACCGGCTCTGATGGGAATGTTACCAAAAATTATTTTGCTTGCTTTATCACTCTTCTTGTTGTACGATTTCAAATACTTCGGAAGATTGCCTAAATTCTCATATACTGCAAGAACATGTGGACATAAACCAGCCGTCGCAGAAAAATAACGGCACTTGCAATTAATCTGGTTTTCTTTCTAGACTGTTACATTCGCACTACCGCCATGTTCTGTAACACAATATGTACCTTTGCCCACATCAATAATGCTCTGAGTTGACAAAATCACTTCTGCACTGTTCCAAATTTGGGTCAACATTGTGCTTGGAACACCAACTACGCCGCTATCTTGTATCGAAACAGACAGTTTCTTTCTTGGTATCATCGACGGGTGTTTCTCTGAACAGGACGTAGGAGCTTTAAACACTTTCTTAATGTGACTTGATTGTTGCTCTGGCGTTTTTTGTGACCATACCACAGGATCAACAGAATAGTTTTGATATTCAGATGACAAACGGTATTCCCCATGTTAAAAACAGCTTTAATATATTCATTCTCTTGCTGTGAAAAAATTCTTTCTTCAAGTATTTCGTGAATAGTAGCTTGATCTGTTACCTGGTTACCGGCCTCCTCTTTAATGATAGTGTTTAATGACTCAGTCTGTTGGTTTGTCCATTTGTTTGGTGGGTTTCCTAGACCAGCTAACACCCGTACTGGTTTTAGCATGTTATCCCGTCCTCTTGTTGTATATCATGTATATCGTCCTCTTGTTGTCATCATCCACTCAGCAAATTTTGATGGCCAGTTGGCCTCGAGCTCAACATATTTTGATTCAAACTCTTCCACTGTATTGCAGTCAACCAATCCTTTCGTACGCTTTCCATCATATTCGTTCCCCAATATTTCTTCCACGATCATCTTGGCTATATCGTCTGGCACTTTCAATTCTTTTAATTTCCATGAAATGTCTGTCTGCACGTGGTCAAAACAACGAAGATGAATATTAATTGATGATGAACCTTTAATCGGATACGCGCTCTCAAAACCACTTTCCATTGCACATTCTCCATCCGTCCCATAAGATAGCGAATTTATTCCTTCGGCTTTCAAGCACCGTGCCATGTATTCATAATCGCGCTGTTCTTTTGTGACAGAGGTCATCACAGCAGCCAAGGTAGTTGGGTGCTTTGTTTTGCTTTTGTATGTAAACAAAGGGTTCGGGATGGTTAATGTAGTCAAGTAAAAGGGGCCAAGCTTATAAGTCATATCAATACCGGCAACAGCTTCTGGAGATGAACCTGAAGTGAATCGTTTAATCCAGCTAATGGTAAGATCTGTTGCAGCAAATGTATTAGGAGTCGCACGTGTTATTCCCTCGCTTCCAGTTCTAGTTGTAAAACTTACATCGCGTACAAAACGTCTGTTCTGCTGCAACGATAACAACTTTTCCAATGCCGGTGTCTTGTTTGGGCCAGTACTTCTAGACCTAATTCTTCCTTCAACTTTACGAAGTTGGTTGTACACTTGTTGGCGGTTTCTTGGTATCGCCGAAGGTGAAGTGACTGATTTTACACCTCCAACATCTTTCTCTAATTTTGTAATGATGTGTTTTGCACTTTCGTGTGTCCCAAGGCTTTGCATCTTTGCAAGTACGCTGGGCTTCGTTCGTACGTATGATTCGTTAGCATGGTGCCGACTATTGCCGTGCGATTTCGTAAACAGCTCTTCTACTTGATTAGTCTTTACAATGTATTGCACGATTGCATAACGCAAGTAATTTGATTCGCTTTCAACTTTTACAATAATCCGCTTGTAATCCCTTGTCTTACTATGCCAACTATACTGTCGACGAACCGTGAATCGATCAAATGTTTGGTTTTCGTCTTCTTCGTCTTCTTCGTCTAGAAAGTCTTCTTTTTTTAACACTTTGTAACCAGAAATACTTCCCTCACGATCTAGATTCACGCATAGCTGTTCTGATGGGCTCGAATGAGACCCATATACGCCACAGTTATCAGTTGATAGGTCATTATGATCAACAGCTTCTAGGTCAACGACAAATATTGCGCTTGTGGTAATTGCTATAGGAACCTTTTTGCAGACTTTTTGTTCATCAATTTTTTGGCCAACACATATATTTACTATTTCTCGCGTAGAAATGCCAGCACTGGATCTCTTGTATACCGGAAACCCATTGATCATATCTTTAAATAAAATGAAATAAGAGTATGGGTAAAATGTATACGACAGAAACTCATTCTATAGGAGTTGTTACCCAATTAACGCGCAGTTTGCATATGAAAACGCAAAATTCCACTTGGTTCAAATAGTTGATTAACAGATATATTTTCGAAATCTTTAATTAACTTCTAATTAACATCATTAAAAGGAATTACTTGCAATCATCCCGCAAGTTCAATCAGTGTTTTTGAGCAACAGTGCAGTATTTTTTAGCAACTTCTAAGTCAATCGACGAAACATACAGTATTCATAAAGTAGTAAACTCACGATCAACTGAGTAATATTTTCGTGTATTGTTCAAATTCAAAGGTCCACTGTCAAGCTACACCACAGTCATATATGTCTCTTTATTCACAGCATTAGTATGTTATTTTGGGCAGATTACAACCGCATCTATATTTTTCTTACATTGTTTCACGGAACGATTGTTCACATGCATGGTATACCAGAGATTTGTACAAGAAATTCTGCCATACATTTTCAATTAATCTTTGAAACTCGATTTTTTTCACATAATTATATTTTTCACAATACTTGCACGCAAATGTGAATAACTAACGGAAGAGGAAGAAAGTAGTACTTGGTCGTTGTATATTCTTTAACACGCCATTAAAAACATGTTTCGAAACGGTTATATTTTCGCGGAAAAGTACTGTCTAAATGCAGGAATTGACATGCATGGGGAACGAGTGAGCTATCCTACTAAAACTCAGTCTTCCTTTAAAAAAATGGTAGTATATGCGTGCGCTGGATCGGATTGCGCTTTCTGAATCCGAGAGTTTGCCTAAAAAAATGTTCATACCATTGTTTAACTGATTTGAATCCATATCTTCGTCAACGTCGGATTCATCGCCACTTTTTGGATCATAATTCAACTTTTGTTTCTTTGGCAGTATTGTCTGCAATAAGTTGACCAATGCAATTCATTAAATTACTGTTTAACTGTATTAATTACTGTATCTCAACATCTTCTAATGTTATAGGTGCATGGTTTCGGCGTTTTTAAGGAGTTGGGCATTCGAAGCTAGTGCAGTCGAAAATTAGGGTTGGAATTTCTGCGCCCCAACCACTTATCTTCGCACTATATTACCAGAATTATTACTATAACAATAAAATTGATGTTCGCGGGCATAAAAGTTTCAGCAATTTGGCCTGATTCAGACTCATTTTAGCCAGAGCGTAGCCAGCTACAGACTTGTTTATAGACAGAGAAAAATATACTAAACCGTTCTCAAAAGTCAAAATAAATAATGAAATTTATGAAGTGATAGTTTGGTATAAAAAAGCTAGTTTCGTTTGTTACAGACAAGCGATCTACGGATAAACTTACATTCACGTCGTCATGATGTACTGTATAGTTTCTGCCACAACATAAATAATTCTTGTTTTTCCTTGCTTTTGGGAGTGGATTCTAGCTTACTTAAGTGTAGAAAATGAATATAGCTACCATATTTTTTTTATTTTTTCCAACCATTTTCTCTGTAAAAATATAAAGCAACCTTACCCAGAGCCAGCTCAAGACATTGCTAAAAAGCAACTGCCGACGAAACAGTTTAAATTTTCACAAATATCAATAGTCAATCAGCAAATCATTATAATTTTTGTAGTAAATTATAAAAAGGTCAGGGATTCTTCAGATATCATTCCTGTATTTTGTCTCATGACTATTCCTTACGGCTACAAGTTATCATTTTACTTGACAATTTTAGCCATGTTTATTGCGGCAATTACCATTCTAATCATATAGAGGGCAAAACTATTCAAATATGAATTGTACCTGATTGGCTGAGATGCAAGCGCGGGAAGTTTCTTGTTTTAACTAGCAATAAAAACAATGGCTTCTCGCTTTGTCGTCGCGGATGATGATGTTATTGAAGAATTAAAACTTGAACACTTAGAAAAAGTACAAATTTATTGGTTGCATGGAGTATTTAAGAAATTGGCAGGCAGGGCAGCATTAAGAAACATCGGCGAAAAGGCGAAGACATGGAGACATACGAGGTTCAAGAACTCAGTTGACAAGTTCACAATTAACTTACGAATAAATTTTGCCCTCTACATGATTAACAAGTAATCCCATAGTTCCTCGTAAAATTAAGGTTTAATTTCACTTGTGTTTTCAAAGTTTCACAAATTTTTTTCACAATTTGTGAAACTTTGAAAACACGCGTGAAATTAAACCTTAATTTTACTCGGCCCCTTGCGATTACCTATACAAATAACACTTACAGTACTGTACCTTATAATTTGCCACATATTCCTTACAAAAATTTGATTTTGAACTGCTCATTGGCTCATGACCTTCAGAGTTATTACAATTGTCATCACTTTCATCCAATACTTCGATAACTTCCTGCATTGCAATTTTATGCCATGTTAAACATACAGTAGAAAAGAAACAAATAATGCAAATTTGGAATCCATTAACAAGAACATGAACCATTACGATAAAATTAAAGGGGCTCCTATTTGTCATTATTGCGAAGTATTGCCTAAAACAGTTGTTATATATCGGTTTGTTCATGCAATGAGGAACAAACAAGGTTTGACGTTGGTCAGATTGCGTCACAAATGAAATAACGAGGGAAAGAACCAATTAAACCAGGGTTAGTATTTCAAGGACCCAAAATATTCACAGACTTTCTGCTTAGTATCAGAGAATTTTTTCCAAGATTTCTGATAGATAGAATTGCCAGCATTTTAGGCTACTTTTATTTCGTTTATGCTACTAAGATGCATGCGGTTTGTCGCAGAAAGATTGGGATGCATGGTAAAAGCTTTTTTTAACCGGTATGTGTCCCGTCAATTCTATGCCTTCTCGTCAATATTTGTAAAAATCTTTTGCTTCAAAGACTTTTTAAACACCTTACAGGTAAACTACGTGAAGCGTTCTTCTTTTGAGTTCCTAACTCATTTGGAATTTTGCTCATTACCTTAGTTTGCAAATTTGAAAAACTCTTTGCAATGTTCCTATCGGCTGTTGCAATATTCCAATGAAGAAAAACTTCATTTCAAATTTTCCTAACTTCCTCCTTTCAAATCCTGAATTCCTGTTCTGTTCTGTTCTGTTCTGTTGTTCTGAGCGTTACTATTGGTGATTTGATAGGAACTTGTAACAGGAAGTTGAGAACTTCTAACTGGAACGGAGGAAAATTTAAGTGGCTTCTATAGCAACATTGCAAATTCCCTGCAGGGATTTGCAAAGAGTTTTTCAAATTTGCAAAGTTAATGAGGAAAAAAAAATCCAAATGAGTTAGGCACTCAAAAGACCCATAATTATAGACGAACGCTTCACGTAATTTACCTGTAAAGAACTAGATTTAAATTTAGAGATTTTCAAGAATTTAAAAGACCGCTGTGAACACTTTAACTGTAACTCACACTCAATGAGTGGAGGTTCAATCTGAGCTTCTCTTGAGTGTCAATGCTGTTTTTGAATAGCTAGAGGGTGAGTAGTCATAGTAAGGTATGACACTAGCCCTCCAACTATTCAAAAACAGAAACAACTAGAGGGCACTCAGAGACTGCATACCTCCGCCCCCATTGAATTTTGGTCGTGTGAAATGCAACTAAGACAATAGATATAAGAAGGCTGAAGCTTAATGAGGTTTATCATCTCATTATTGTCTTAGTACTGCATGCATATATTATACACGTCCTAATTACCCATTCAGTGAGTATTTTTTTAATTCAGGACCTGGAAAAGCAAGACAAAATTTAGTTATTTCTCGTTCAATTTTTAACCAAATTTTAATCAGTTCTTCCTTAGCCGATGGGAAATGCACTCAAAAAATTTCGTATGAATATGTTTGGTATTTCTTGAGTTATCGTGCTCACAAACAAACAAACACACACACACAGTACACACACACACACAAACCCAGATGATTACATAACCTCCTGGCGGAGGTAATGACAGAAGCTCAGATTGAACTTCAACTCATTGAGTGTTAGTGAGCTTTTAGAGTACGGGCGTTATAGTGATACTTTCAAGGACAAACTGTGTAATGGATTGGCTATTAGCAAAGGTGATTTAACGCGAGATGAACTTTGGTAAAAAGCAAGAAAGAGAAGATAAACGACAACTTGGAGACATTTGTTGATAGACAAGACATTTGTTGATAGACATATAATAGTTTATCTTTCAAGACTTTTTAACTTATTATTATTATATATATTATATTTGTAAGATATTTTATCCTATTTGTCCATTCTTATATAATTATGTAATTTTTAGGCTTTATTTATTAACTTTTTGGCTACCTATTTTTGTTATTCTTGAGACTTTACAGGACAAACATTGATAGCAGTTTTTGTAATTAATTATTTAATTTTTACATAACTGACGTTTTTATCCTGTTAAAATATTCATCAATAATAATAATAATAATAATAATAATAATACTTAAAACCACAGTTAATTTATTAACTGTGTTAAAACATACCGTATCGTTTGATTGAAATGATGGTACACTACTTGTTCCTGAATTTAACAACCAATGATCCTAAAAGTCAAGATCTTTCTCAGTTGTATCGTTTTCGTACGTATATTAGTAGTAATTTTACCTTTTGTTTGTAAATATTTTAACAATGTGTTAGAAACTTCGTGAAATGAAGGTTTTACATATTTACTTACTTTGACAGACGTTGATTTGAGTTTCTAGAAAAGGAACAGAAAAAGTTTGCGTTGAGCAATCACGTTTTGTTTTGTATATACACATACAGTTTACTTCATATTATATTTTTAAAATTTGTTTGTCCACGAATATTAAATAAGGAACAGGTTAGGAAAATAATCTAAAAAAAAATGGATAATTTTGATCACGTGGTATTAATTACATCGAAATTTCCGATTCTTCTACTGTGCAATGCAACAGTTTACTCTTGTTCATAACAGTGTAGAATTAATACTATATGCATTTTACCATAATATCCTTTATACTCCTCCCGGCGTAAAACGCACAAAGGCTAATTATTAAAGCTTGTTCCTTTCCTGGCAACTTAAACTAAACATATTTTCCAATTTGTAATGAGAAAATTGCATCGATTCCGTTTGAGTATGCAAACTAGGGAAACTACTGTATCAACATGTTCATTCATCTGCAAGACCTACTGTACTTGTATTCCATTAATTGACAGCGCCGTTAAATACTTCATTTTAGATTGGGTATCCACAGTAACACTAACTTCGTACTTAATGTTGTTAATTTAGGTAGAAATGCCTTACCTGTAGAAGAGAAGGACAACTTGTGGAATTACTGATTTTTAGCTCCAACAATGATTGACCACAATCGTCTTTAACTGCACCTTGGGCAAGACGCTTCCAAAGCCAGTGACAAAGTGCATCAAGGCTTGCTGCAGTTAGATCTGGGAAAACTACAAGCAAGCCTTGGCCATCACCTCCCAAACATTCACCAATAGGATGTGTATCAAGAACAAAATAAGAATTGTTCATAATTCCAATCAAGAAAATGTATGGCTCACAAGTGTATAGAAAAACCTCAGGATTTCCGCTTCTACTCGCTGCAAGTAATGCTAGGCGAAGACTACTTCTCCCTCCTGGGGAAAATGTAGGCTCTCCAGTAATTATTCTCTCAAATAATTCTGCTTGTCCTGGTAAAATGTTATGCTCTTTCATGATCTGCATAGCTTCCAGGACATCATAAAAGCTGCTACGGTTCCTGTAGTTGTTAATAACTGAAGGTATATTCAGAAGGATGTCCCGGGCTTTCTCCGCCACAATACTCCAAATACTACCATCCACATCGACTGGAAACGTACTGATGGCCACTTCATACGCAATAGATAGTGCAAGAAAACTACACGCATTTGTAGCATCGTCGTCCAAAATGTTTGGTGACATTGTGACGTGGCTGACTGAACACTCTGTATCCTTGAGCAATTCGAGATCCACTTGTTCCAATGCGGTTACTTGGCTAATTCCTAGACTGATGGTATGGCTTGTATTCTCCTGGTTATTCAGGGCATGTAATACCTCCTGTGCTGACGGCCTTTGAGAAGCTTCAAATATGGTGCACATTTGGTATACTCTGTCTATAGGATACCACTGCAACGCTTGACAGCGATAATATTCTTTTGCTTGCACTGGTTTCTTCTTTTGTAGCATAAATCTTTCGATCACTTTTCTGTAGTTCATTCCAACGTTACCCTCCATAACCTCCAGCTGATATGGTGCTGCTAAACACAGGTTTAGAAGAACAAAATAAGTCATACCGAGTGCCCAAATATCCATCTTCTTCAAGTCTTCTAGACACGCACTTTTAATTTGATCGAGTATTACCTCCGGTGCCATGTATGGCAAGGTGCCCGTTTCCACATTACTTGTACGCGAATGCATGGCCATTGATGTTTGAATAAGAGTAGATCTGCTTTCTCCAAAGTCCGTCACTTTGCATTTAATTGGATTTTTCAAGAAGGCATCAGACACATAATCTTCATTCAACGAACTGTAGTGAATATTACTCACGAGGACGTTACTTGGTTTAAGATCCCTATGTGCAACATTCTCTCCGTGAAGATATGTCAAGGCACGAGCGACATCTTGTGCTATATTTAAAAATATTGGTGCAAAAGCATTTAAAGACTCGTTTTCGAAAGAGTTCACCACTTTCAAAAACTGAAGAAGATTTGTGACCTCAACATCTTCCCCAAATGGTCTGAAACTAAAACATTCATAATCTAGCATCAGCGCTTGTGGTGTGCTGCACCATCCTTCCAATTTGACAATGTTCTCGTGATTTAGAGATTTGATGAGGTTACCTTCCTTGAAAAAAACTGATTCGTCAACACCGCCTTGATTTTTCAGTCGCTTTACAACAACCGTATCCCCTAGGTAATCTGCTTTGTAGGCTGTTCCAAACGAACCACGTCCAATTTCATTTGGATCGTTGAGCTCATTCCAAAAAAACTGTCTAACACCTTCAATCGTTCTACGCTCAACTTGCTTTCTCCGTATTGATACCGGTAATTTAAAGCAAGCCATTGCTTACTGCCAAGTTTTTCAGATCTATAGAACACAATTTTGAATTAAAATTCAAACTTTTATGCAACTACCCAAAACGGAACACAACACAACTTTGTGATAATCATAAAAACATTTGGTCACCTCACATAGGCTAAATATTTGTATTGCAGGTACAGATGATACCTCATGATGAGATGTCATGATTTATGTTAATGAATGATCATGATTTATTTTAATCCAAAAGCCTGTTCAACGTTTCTATAAAACTCCTAGCCCAAATGTTTTATGTAAATAATGGTATATCACATGGGCAAATCATTAAATAAATGAATAAATAAATAAAAAAGAGGTATTACATGTGATGTCACTCAATTCGTAATATACAGTTTTACAGATCAACTACAGTGTATGTGAAGCGTAATTCCTCTTTTGAGTTCGTACCTCATTTGGAATTTTCCTGATTACAGTACATTTGCAAATTTTTAAACTCTACAGGGTGTCCCAAAAAACCCGCAAAACCATTGAAATAACGTATTGTTAAAATTTGAATGCCCTAGCACTAAACTGAACGCAAAGATGCGTAAAATATTGACAAGGGTGCATATATTAAATATCGACTTATTAAGAAATTAAAATATCGTTGTAAACCGCACGATTTTCTGCTGTTGGGAATTTAAAGCAGCTTCTTAAACAGTTTCTTTATGAATAAAATTTACTTATGTCAAGCTTTCATGCACTTGTGGGTTCAGCAGAGTGCTGAGGCATTCAAATTCTAACAATACGTTATTTCAATAGTTCTCGTTTTTTGGGACACACTGTATAGTATATTAATATCGGCTATTGCAAAATTCCAATGCAGGAAAACCTTGTTTAAAATTTTTCCATTAAACTTCCTGTTTTAAATTCCTGTTCTGTTCTGAGCGTTGCTATTGGTGGATTATTTGTGTTAGGCAAATTCCGTCTGAAAATATGCTATTCCTTCATGTACTGTTTCTGAGAGCCTGTTCATGCAGGGTCCGCGCTAATGTTCTGATTTTCGTGAACTAAAGTGAACTGAATAATTGAATAACAAAAAATAAACATGTACAGTGCATTGCCCTGTACAGTGATGAACAAATTATTAATAAAACTGAAATGCACTTGTGAACTTTGTTGCGAAGTTTGTGCCCAATTTTCGAACTTGAAAACTTAATTCGTGATTCCCCTTATTACGTTTTCGTAGCGCTTTGCATTGTGGTTATAGTGGTATCACTGATAGAGTTAGCAGCCTCGAATGAAAATATTGAATGTTTTCGCGAATATTTTGCTGAGGCTATCGCGCACCTGACCCTAGCTTTTTTTTAAAAGTTTGTGCACGGATCAGGACAAAAAATAAGCCATCTTGAATATCAGTGATACCGCTATAACCATAATGCAAAGCGCTACGAAAACGTAATAAGGGGAATCACGAATTGGCAAGTTAACGAACTTGGGAACCGCACGTTGAAAAGCGACTTGAAATCAACAATAATATTGGTGCAAAGAAATTAGAATATGCAAGTACTGCAAGCGAACAAGAACTTAGCTACGAAGTGGAACAGTGGCTCAAAGTCCGGTATAATGTGATATATTATACAGGAGGAAAACCCTTGCTTGTCGATATACAAAATTTCCTCCCTATCAGTTAGAGTTTATGTTTTCGAAAAAGTGGCTTACTTTCTAAGTGATTGATAAATATTTTAAGACTCAGTTATTTTCTAGGATCATTGGCATAATTCTCACTTTTAACCCAGTTTAAGTGGCAATGTGCCCGGATGTGCCCAAGTACTTTATTAATAATGTCACTCTGTCTAATGCCAGACAATTTTACTTGGGGGAAAGTGCTGCCATTCAATCAATGGGTTAATCAGATTATATGCTCTGATGCATCCTTAACAGGCAATGATGCATCCTTTAAGTGGCAATGTGCCTGGATGCACCCAACTTTATTATGTTACTCTGTCTAATGCTAGACGATTTTACTTGTCAGGGGGAAAGTGCTGCCACTCAATGTGTTAAGTTATGATTATTAGTGCCTTTATTTATCATTGTTCTGTATTTTGCTGATACATCAATACAGAAATTAGAGCTTTAAACAGTACAGTATTATACTTTGACTTCCTGTACTTCTTGGCATAATAATAGGGTTTCAAAAATTCTGCCCTTGAGGAGGGGTTTTATATGTAATAACTGTACCTAACACCCAGGGGCATTTGCTAAGAGTTTGCTGGGTATAAGGTAAATGAGCCAACCCCTCTGGGTCCCCGGGGGTCAACCCCCGGGGGAGCCGCTGATACCCACATCACAGAATAAGGTACACAAAAGGCCGACTTGGTTTTTCCTATGATTTTCCTATGATTTTGGCGTAACCCGTAATTCGTCATCAAATGCTGACGCCATGGTCCTAGCCAGTGCACGTTTGAGAGGCATTCGCCCTGGACGTCTGCCATTTTGAATGTTATCAGGGGGGCGAATGCCTCTCAAACATGCACTGGCTAGGACCATGGCGTCAGCATTTGATGATGAATCATGGCGTGGCAGTGGTTACTCGAGTCGACCTTCTGTGTGCCTTATTCTGTGCCCACATTGAGCAGTAATGACTTTAGTTTCCTACTAACCTACAATGATCCTACAATTTACATAATTCATGTGACTCCAACAAGAAATATCTTTTTAAGTTAAGTCCTTCTTTAAAATCACTAATCAGTGAAAGAATTTATACCATCAATAATAAAATTCATACATTTTTCTATGCAGTGCACACAAACCCCCAAAACTATAGAAGAACGTTCTCACTGAAATACTCCTCTGTGTTTTAATATTTAGCTTATTTATTCCATATTCAGATTGGTATTGAAACCTGGAGTTTAACTTTATATTTAAGTAACATAATATACACTTTATGCAGCCTCATTACACGGAGACATTTTGCAGAAATAGTTGTTTTCCGCCCTACCACATGGCACATGTTGAACTTTACACGTCATATATTTACATAACAAATTATATGTTAATGTCAGTAGGCAAAGGATTAAAGCAAAATTTTGTCCAACGTTTTCTTCGCAAAAGCAGGAAGGGAACATTACAAATACTAAATAAAAGACTTTAAAAGTGCAACTCTTACCTTTGTACAAATCTCGTGGATCAAATGAGAACGAACGAGAACCACAACTGACACTATTTTCTGGCTTGGAAAAGTCGAACATGAAAATTACCGAACCGCCAATGGCTCGACGACAGTTGCCGACAATCGCAAAATACAGTTTCGCAAAATGCAGTTTCGCAAAATGCAGTTTCGCAAAATACAGTTTCGCAAAATACAGTTTCGCAAAATACAGTTTCGCAAAGTTTCGTTTCGCAAAGTTTCGTTTCGTTTCGCAAAATACAGTAAGCCCTTTCATCCAGGTATGTAAATCCCTGTAGTCAAGGCCTTTCAACAAATTTGAAGAAATGCTAGGATATGATGGGTGTCCTTTCCTCCCAGCTTCACACTTAAATGCATTTATCTTCAACAAGTCCTTACTAATGATTTCAACATCTGTTTCTGGCTTCCCTTTTGATAGATATCCAGCACTGTCAGTTATTTCGCACTCCCTGTCAATAGTATTCAAAATTTGCTCCATAGGTTCTATGGTATTGGCCAGCTGTGTGGCAGACTTTTCATTCAGATTTGCTCCAAGTGATCTCCACATGGTTTTGACAATTTTGTTCAATTGTTCCATCCTTAGATCAAGTGGTATGTTTCCACCAACTCTTCCATGATTATTATAGAAGCGATTCCACTTGAGATTGTGTGCATCTGCTTCAGACAGAAAACTCTCAATTTGCACTAAATACATTAGAATTGCATAAGAGTACTTGACCTTTCCATGGGCTTTGAACAGTACTAGGGCAAATTTATACAAGTCATGCAACCGTTCACCATCTCCTTCTTTTATTGCATCATTGAATTCCATAAGAATGAGGCCAAATGAAAGCTTGGAACTATGATAGTTGAACAGGTAGTCTTCATCAGGTGTTTGGTTTTCTGTGTCACTCTGTTGACTTCCCTGCTGTTGAGACAACTGTGATTCTGGGTGCTTTGAACTTTCATGTTTAAAATAACATCAAAGTTTTACTAACAGATACTAATGGAATATTTTACATTGAAATCGCACCAGACAGTGATTTATTTAACTCAATAAGGGCAATGGTGCAATTCTAAAAATTCATTCCTACTACTATTTATAACTTAATGGGTTAGCCCTTGCTTAACTCAATTATAATGGAAGCTGAATATGGTTAGCATTTTGTTCTGAATATATAATGCTGGATTGCTCGACAAGTTTATTCTCTAAGGTGTTCAGTCAAATTTTGGGTACAGAGTATTTTCTGTTAAATTATGACATTTAGTACCTGTTGTTGAAAAAACAAGTCCACAATGGAATCTACAATGATAGAAACCTAAGGAATCTCTCTCACTTAATTCAAATTTTTCAAACACACGTCCATGACTTGTGACTTCATGTCTAAAAATATATTTAAAATATTAAAATATCTTGACTCGAATTGGAATTTGTTAACTTATGGCTGTGATGTCAACATACAAATTAGGTATAGTTATAACCATTTGAGTCCTAGAGTTTATCCCTTGACGAGTAAAATCATCTGTTGTTAAAAAGAGTAATACTATAAAAGAAGTGGTTGGGAACTAATAGGGGTGATCTATTAGGGAAATGGAAAATATAATCAATAACCACAGTACAGGATTGAATATACACACTTGACACACATAGAATGGTGGGCATACATCTTAGTACATCCTTCAATTCGGCAAGGGAATGTATCAGTTGAAGCTTGCAGAAAAGGCTCAACTTCAAAATTTATAAGAAATTTGTTGACATATTGAACACACAGCTCCAAAAACCATTTCCTTCTGTCTTCTCTTGGGACATCTGTATTAGGAATATCATAATTGGGCGCATCTATGGTAAATAAATTATAATAGTAAGCCAACTACAACAGAATATAATTGTACTTTAGTTTGTACATGTTAATACACTAAATATGTTACAGTAGGATATGATCGCTCCTGATGAAGACAATAGACATTAATAGTGTTATAATTGGGTTGTTACCTGTGACTTCTTTAAATTATGGCATTTAAAATTATTAACCCATTAAGCAGCAATTTAATCCTTGTCAAATGACAATGTTTGATGTTTGACATTGATAGTAAATACTATTAGGGGTGCAATCCCAATTAGTGGCTGGATTAATATTTATTTATAATGTTAAAAATGAGCTTAGAGTTAATAAAATTTATATAATTTCCCATGTCAGAGTAAAATAATAAGGTAGGGAACATAAGGGCACGCTGCCATTAAAAGGGTTAATAATAAATTTCATACCTGATAAGTTATTCATTCCAGACATTTCCATGAATGATGCACAAATGTGGGCCTCAATTTCACGTTGATGAAATTCTTTATATTCGTTATAATGGTGTTCTACTCCCTTCGCAGCATTGTACTTTCCAGTTCTATTCATGTTTGCACAAGAGGTGCCAATGTCAGATGCTGATGCATTTGAAACAAATTTGTCAAATTCAACCTTAACTCATTAACTGGCAAGCTGTTACAATGTTACCACCCCCTAAAGTGGCAAGCAATATGGCGAATTCATGATTGAATTCCAAGCTTTCACCAAAATGGCAATATCTCAGAAACAATTGCATAAAAAAGTCTGATCTTTTCAACCAAACATAAATGATATATGATTGACCAAATTTAGTTTAGATGAGCTTGCATACCTATATATATCATTAGTTTTTTCAGTCAGTATTTTTATTTATAAAGCAGTGACATTTTGTTTTTCATGTCACTCATCACCTAAAGGGGCAATATCTCCATAAATTTATATAAAAACAAAAAAAAAAAAATTTCTAAATTAATACATATCTATATTACAACCAATTTTCATCTTTTGGGATATGAATTATGAAATTATCAAAAAATTTAAAAATTACTTCTTTGCTTTTTTGGGGCATCTTGTTTACAACATGAAATTTAGAACAGTAACTAAGTGTTCAAGTTCAACAAAGTGTGCAAGCCAAAACACAGTGTTTGTACATCTTTAAAGTTTTTTTATTGCTTCAAATATATTTAAGAAGACACATGGTGCTTAAATTTATTTATTTTAATATAAACCAAGTATGGGAAGGTGAGAAAATGAGAATTTTCTGAGGTGTTTTTAACACAGACAATGACAGCCGACATTTTGAAAGGCACTCTGCGGTGACAAAACTAAAAGCTATTCACTTCTGTACTCAAAGCACTGAAAAGTATCATAAACAGAAAAACACTTTAAACACATGTCAGGTAAGACTTTTAGCTCAATATTTTCATGCTTCTATTGGGAAAGCAACGGTTTAAAAGCCAAAATTATTTTGCGCGCCAATGTAGGCTGCTATAAAATGTCAGACAGGCGGTTTCTTTTGAAGTCTGGCTCTGAAAAACAATCTCTTTATTTGAGTTTGAAATAAGCCTTCATAAGGACTATTGTGTAGAAATGTTATCTATATGCTCACATGAAAAAGATAACATAATATTCAGGTATTCCACATAGCTATAAAAGGGTGAAATAAGAACTTTCATCTTTGGTTGTTTGTCAGACGTGAGAAACCACATTAGTGCCATTTTGTCGCGCGTGCTATTTTATAAAATAAACACCTCAAAACCATAAACTTTTAGTTCAGAAAATTACAAAGTTTCCCATAGACATTATTAAAAATGTTCTAGTGAAGCGATTTCATGATAAATAAGTGAGCAATGGGCCCAAAAGAACTGCTAAGGTTAGTTTTTGTTAGGACTTCAATTTCATGGCTTCCCGCAAAAGGAAGCCATTTCAGAGAGAAGCAACATTTTGCAAACAACAGTCGCGACTTATTTTGATAACTTTTCCTTCTGATTCAACGTGTAGTTACTAGAAAATGATGTTGCATCAACATTATTATCTGCTTTATCGATTTAAAGTTTTATAGGGGATATAAAAAACAGTAAAAATGCATTTTGAAAGCTTTACAACTCAAGTGCGGACTTTTTGAATATTTGCACGCGGCAAGCAAGCGCGTTTATTCAATACACTTATTTTAAACCACAATACGTCTGAAACGAGTTGTCATTTTGACACTAAATTGATGAAAATAGATATAACAGTGATTTTGGAATATCCTACTTATTTAGTGTAATTTAATACTCGAAGTATTCTTGCCAAAAAGATCACGTACGCACACAGTAAGTGTCGTTTGAAATATACTTTTTAGCTAAAATAACAACTTGAACAAGAAGACCAACAATGGGGTCACGAAAACAGTCAAAGTTGCGCCCAAATTTGCATAAACAGTTCGTCTAAAAAGATAACTTTAAACTAGATTCAACCAACATTAATGCGGTCGAATTTTGTGAGTGTTTGATCGCATATTTCTACTCAAAAATATCCTTTAAAAAATCGTATCTGCTCACTTGAGTTCCGTGTTCATCTTTCTTGTGATTTCCGACTTCTATTTTTACGTCAGTACATTCGCTTTCCTTTCATGCCAAATTTTCGTTGTAAATCATTCAAAAACGTCTTCTTTTTCCTCTTTTAAAACTTGCTGTGAAATCCTTCTTTGCAACAATATCGCCATTATTCATTATTTTTGAAAAACTAAGGTTTTAAACTTGAAAAACTTTGCGAGTTTTTGGCCGATTTTCTTGCATGATACACCGTTGAAAAGCTCGAATTTCGCGTTCTATTTTCGTATCCGTTGCTAGGCAACCCGATAAACACATGCTCAAATATCATGCCCGCAAGTTGAGGTGTCATTTGAGGGCGTATGCGGGCGCATTGCCAGTTACACACTTGCCAATCTCAGGGCGCATCCGGGCGCATTGCCAGTTAATGAGTTAAACATATAAAGCTGAAAAAGATTTAAATTTAACATAGTTTATATAGGTCCAAAATTTAAATAGGTCCAAAATCGAAATTGAGACTATGTATGTGACTCTGTATGTGACTATGCACGAGATGATGCACTGTATGTGCACACGTTTTTGCAATGGCGTTTTCAACTTGCGCGTTGAGGCGCGTTGTTCACATTGATCGTTTTTCTCACAACAATTTCTGACAAAGCACTAGTTTTTAGTCTTCGTTTCCAAATTTAAACACAGCTTTTCATTTTCGCCTGCCACTTTCCTGTTTACACTATAACAAAGTGCCGAAACGACCAATTTCAAAATATTTCAGACATAGAAACAAACATTTGGCATCGTTTCCACTATTTGAAACGTTTTTGCTTAATGCATGGCGTCGTTTTCATACGTTTTCGTGTAAACAGAACGTGAAAACGGTACTTTCAGAAACGCATTACAACCAAAAACGCTCGAAAACGTTACCGTGGACATAGTCTGAGTCACGAGTGTCTTAGCATGTGGTGCAGACGCGCATTTCCGCAAAGTCAGCAAAGTTATCCGAATATCTGTGATTCATTGATATTTTATTTCAATCTTTTCATAGCAATTTCATGAATTTGACCTTTTCTAACCCCAGGCGCCCAATAGACAATTTATATACTTTTTTTGTATTTTGTGCAGTCTTAAAACACTCTTACTTAGTGGTGGCTAGTGGCCTAGTGCTAACTGGGCTTTTGTACGACCCGATTTTCCAAACGTTTAAATTTTATGCGTCAGAGAGCGAGTAAAACGGATATGCAACCGATGATACCGATCTCTGTAAGCGGTATGTCTTTCAAAACAGTAATTTCGCTAAATAACTAAAAGAAGACAAGTACGTTCTTACCCCATGGTTCGTCTTTCTCTTGGTCTTTTTCTCTTGTGCCTCTGGAGTCTTCTTGAGGATCCTGCGCCTCTGACGAGTCAAAATACTCTCTTTGGATTTGAGCGCGCTTTGCAGCCTCAAACGGATTAGCCGGTGCATCTTTGTGTGCTACTCGCACTCTCTTTCCCTGATGGCAAGTTTGCTCATGCCTCTTACGGTAATCGTTGTCAAAAATCGAATTACATTCAAGACACTGAAGTTTTATCCTTTTTCTTTTGGGTTTTGAACCGCGCATAATTGATATAAAGCCTTCGCTATAAGAGCAGTCTAGCGAAGAACATGCCTGAGGATTAGGAACTGTTGTTTTTTTAGCCAGAAAACATGGGTTTCACATTTCAGCCTCCCGTTGATTTTCGACAAATAAAAAACAAATACTATTACTAGTAATACTTAGACAGACCATGGTGGTTTTGGCATAAGGCCACATTTTGGCATTTTAAATCCACAATTTATCGCTTTATCTCTCGCCTTCGTTCTTCACTTTTATAATTGGCTAAATGGCAATTTCGCGATTTGCCGAACAGTGACGAAGCAATTTGCCGACTGAGCTGACTTGCAAAAATTATTGGGGGGGAAGCACCCCCCACCCCCCCCCCGCTCGCGACGGCCCTGACAATGTCTGACAAATGTTTGCTTGTCCTATCCTTTGGTGCTTTGTTGCCGTTGTCTTTAATGTCCCATTCTAGAGATTCGTTGACCAAACTCTTTGTCAGGATGTCTACAATTTTTGGTAAAATTAAAATAAAGTGTGATGTAGGGGGAAATGGAGGGTGGCGTAATCAACCATGCACTACGTCATGTACCAGTTCTTATCTTTATCCACCATCTAACAGATAAAGCTAAGGATGAATATCTTACATCAAATTCCAACCCCAAAATTCGATTTCCTGTAGGAGGAAACCGGAGAAAACCCACGACTTTCGGTAGAGCGTTGACCGACACATGAATGTGTTGAGTCCGGATAGGGGATTGAACCCACTCAGAGGTAGAAGGTGCTTGCTCTGTCGATTGTGCCACCGAAGCCCCTTACTTTATACATTTTGTGCTGTTGATCAATTTTATTATATATTTGCTCTACTTTTTTCCAATGAACAACAAGCCGCCAAATCAAACCAGACTAAACTAAAACAAACAGACAAATTGTGCGTAAGCACCGACTAGCTGTTTTGGCCCTTTCCAAGTTCAGCCAATATTAGAAGCACGTTCTTAAAGACATGGCTTTGCTGGTCGATTTCGGAAACACTTTCATTTACTCGTATTTGCAAGCTCGCTTTAAATGTTACAAAGAAATGTCATGCGCAGTAAATTAATAGTAGCTTGCAAGGACGGATTTAGAGACGGAATTGGAAAAGAATGATAACACAGGTTAGTTACATATGTTTTTGGCATTTCAAAAAAGATAATTTTACAAGTTTAGACAAAAATTTAATCAATTATATAAAATTTAAATGAAAAAAATTTAAAATTTAATTTAATTTTGTATAAATTTGTTTTCAGTAAATGCAGTTGAAAGTGAGGAAAATGAGGGTGCAGCTGAGCCTGAAGGCCCAATACAAAAAATGTTGCAAGACACGGAAGGCAAGTTGGGCAACTATGTGACAGGAATAGTATTACAGACAAGAAGACAATTTTGTACACTGAACTTTGATTTCAGTGAATGTTATCTGTTGTTTCCAGTAGGTACAGTTGAAAGTGAGAGAAATGAAGGTGAAGCTGAGCTTGAGAAACAAATGTTGCAATCATCAGACTGTTCAGACTCGGAACACAATTACGAGACAGGTCAGTAACAATCCTTTGCAACTTTGCACGTAACTGAGCGTCTTAGCCAACGGGTCAATGGGTTATTGTTGAAATTATTCTATATAGCTGACATAGTGATGTATCTTAATTGTTAAATGTTATACACAAAACATTCATACTTTGAAAGGTAATGATGAACTAGAGATCATACACTCGAAACATGGCAATAGCAGCAACCGTGTCACACCATCTGGTATTAGTGTGCTTACTGGTAGAGACGATCCTAAAAAACAACCAGAGTCTTCAACATCCTTACTTCCCACAGGTATTCTAGCTTCTTAAATCTTACTTCTTAAAGGCACAATACCACCTATTGAGCGATGTGATATAACGCGCGATAAACAACGCTTCGGCATTCGAAGATGGCAAAATGGATAGAGTGTGATGACACTATACACAAGTTTTGTGACGTATCTGACAACCAATGGCTTTCAAAACGCTCTGGCGATATACGTAAAGTACTTACTTTTCCTTCCTGGTCCGAATGCAAAATAGCTAACTAGGAATAATTCCTAAATACTGTCAAAACCAAGAGCGAAATGTGCTCGAACAAATTACCGGTATTGTTGCGATACATGTAACTGTAAATTTGTAAGTGTAATTTGATATCAAAAAGAGTAAAGGTCGGTAAATTTGCTTGGAAATTGTAATAATTAAAGATTTAGTGCAATTTAAAACGATATTAACTATATATTTCAATGAGACCCACTCCTTGTGCAAAATCAATAAACTTGAAAAAGTTCGTGAACTTTTTCAAGTTTTGACCTACTAAATCACATCGCTCAGCAGGTGGTACTGTGCCTTTAACGTCTCTATTGGGTTTGGCATTATGATTTGCTGTTTACGTCTAATATCTATTACAATTTCAGATTCAAAACGACCTAGTCAACCAAAACTTTTGAAATACCCAGTGAACAAGAGCATTAATCCCAAAACAAAGAAAACAAAGAGTTTCAGTAGCTCTTGGTATAGTAGGTTTCCTTGGTTGGAGTACAGCGTTGAGAGAGATGCAGCGCTCTGTTATTGTTGTCGAAATTTCACTGCTAACAAAGCAAATTCAGCGGGTGCATCAGCTTTCACAACAACTGGATACAGGAACTGGGCTAATGCTCTTGATAAGGACAAAGGATTTCTTCAGCACGAACGATCAGAACTTCATAAAAACAGCTATTCAAATTGGATGACCTGGCAAAAAGTTCAAGAGGGTTCTGAGATAAACATTATCCAAAGGCTGTGTCCTGATAGAGCCACGGTTGCAAGTGAAAACAGAGAGTATCTTAGACATCTCCTCAAGTATGTACTCTGGTTTACAACCAACGAGCTTGCAATGCGCGGAGATGATGAGTCTGATGAGTCTAAGAACCCGGGAAAGTGGATAACATTTATTAAACTGCAGTTAGAAATGAATCCCACATTTAGAGAATTGCACAATAAAGTTACGAAGTCTAAGAGTACAGATTACACAAGTAAAACAAGTGTAAATGGCTTCATCGAGATTATAGCAGACAGCGTGCGTAAGGTCATTTGCTCCCAAATAAAGG